TTTGTGAGGAATTCAGACGACTTTTTCAAATTTGCAGATGGAGAGTTTGGAGGGCTGTGTAGTGCAGCGGTAAAGCCAATATGATTACTCATAACATTCATCACTTAATTCGTCTGTCTCCTCCGCGCTCAGGTTAAAGGGTTACTGCACCCAAAAATGAATATTCTGTCATCATTTACTCCCCTAATGTGTCATTCCAAACCAGGCTTTCTTCTGTGGAACATATTTTGACAAATGTGTCACTGTCCATGCAATGGGAGTCAATGGTCGCAATCATTCTTTAAAGTCTACTTTCAAGTTGCACAGAAGAATGAACGGGCAGTTTGGAATGACAGTGCAGCAGTATTGGGTAGGTTACATAAAAAAATAAAAAAATAAATAAATAAATAAAAATTCTAACTAATTACATTATTAAAATTGTATTTAAATGACTTTTCAGATTACATAGTCTTAAAAGTAACTTACTCAAGAATTAACTTATTACATAAAATCATAGACAATAGAAATTTTACTTTTTAAATTAAACTCTTTAAATCTGAACCAAATAGGGCCTTTTAGCTGTCAAAAAAATGTATAAAAATGTTAAATATCTTATGCATAGAAAAATATAATTTCACAGCAATGACACTATATTTCATTTATTCCATATTAATTTCTTACTCAATTGATTGTGGAAACATCTTTATTAATGTTACCTTCTTTAGCTGAAACAGAATTACTTTAAATATATATTTGTATAACAAAAGTATGATTACTGTTCTTCTCTGAATGAATTTATGTAGAACAGTTGAATTTATTTACAGTATAGGCAAGTACATTATAAATGACCTATAAATGAAAAGTAATTTGTTACTTACAATATCAATGGAAACATAATTTAATTACAATAACTAGCCACTTTTTAATAGGGCTGCACAACATTGGAAAAAATGTGAAATTGCGATTTTTTTTGGGGCGATAAACATTGGATATGAATAAAGTTTCACGAGATAGTTTGAATAGCACTATTTGACGATTTTCTGATGGGTGTACAGTATAACAGTATTCAGGTACAAAAATTTATTAAATCACAACGCAAAAAATGCTTTTTTTTTGCTTTGCCTCATTCCTATTCAAAATTAAATAAGTAAAGTAAGTACAAATTAACTATTTAACTGTTTAAAACTACTTACAAAAATGGTAAAAAAAAAATTGCTTTGAGAAATTAGGGCTAGGCAATATGGCAAAAAATGCAATCTGGATAATTGTTTTCCATATTGAACAATAACAAGATATATTTTAATAGAAGTTGTTAATGCTTCCAGATATAAAAGAGTATCCCAACAATGACTTCAGTCACAAAAATTAGAGGGTCCATTAAGTGGCATAACATATTTTCTGCCGAAAAATTCCCTGTGGCCGAAAATTTGGTGCATCTCTAATATCAACACACTTTCAGATTTCCATTATTGCACATTTCTGTTGTGTGATTGGCTATTAGATTAATACAGAGTAAAAAAATTCCAGAGCTTACAATTGTTATTGACATACATTTTATCACGATTCGATATAATATTGGTTTATCTGCCCAGCCCTATTTGAAATGTAGACTAGAAACAAGACTAAAATTATTATTTTTGGCATAATGCATGTAAATTCTGTATAAATACGGTAATTAAATACAGTTCTGTGGCTCCTGTTCAACCATAATTCAGACTGGACATTGCATATCTTGCAATGTGACTATTGCAGATGCTCACATTGCAATATCGTTGCTGAAACAATATCATATGCATGCAACCCTATCTTGTTATTGTAACTACACCCAAAACTGCACTGCATATTTCCTAAATTGGTCTACACTCAGTCTGAATAAGTGTGAATTCTCCCATCCAATCCTGGTGAGCACCAGACAAGCTGAGCGAGACCACAAAAAAAGATGTTGCAAAATATGTAATAAAAAACAACAATGTGAAAGCTAAGCGATCCAAGACTAATTTATCTCTTCAAATACAATGTGAACACAACACACCAATTCCATATATCAAAGTTAACTTAAATCCACAAAAGGCCACGCGCAAGTTGGTGATGCCAACACCTCACTGCCTCCTACTCGCCATCAAGGCCTCTGCAAGCCACAGGGGAACCATTAATAAAAAGCAAGAAGAAAATGGGCAGTATGGAGAAACTATTTGGACAACTGGAAGGTATTAAGACCTGATTTTATACTCAGGCCATGTCCACAGGTTTTTTTCCAACCAAAGCCTTTTCTGCTCTTGATTGATATATTGCAGACGGACAACCTAAAAAAATACTTCTGGCCCTTCAAAACCCAGCTTCTGTTGGATCTGTCAACATAGAGTATGCGATTAAGGTACATTAAGATGCTGGAACCTGCCTTACATTTCATGGAAATGCTGCGTGATCCTCCTTGAGCGTGTGGTTATGCAAGCAACAGGTTTGGATGTCACACAATAGCAAGCTCCTGTCTGCTTATGAATTGCCAGAAAGGCGTGCAAAAGCATGAATAGTGACTTGTGAAAAGGGATTGTTGTAGGGATTAATTAAAATAAATAATCAGCATTTACGACAGACCACATTTGCCTCAAGCTTTCGAGGGAAAACGAGCCACAAGTTAACAACACAAGCCAGTTGTTTCGGGATAACACTGATGGTGTCAGTAAGGTTTGAATATTAAAAACGGTTACGCTTTATGATCATATATAAGGCAAGTCAAAAGGAAATGTGCATCGCCTGTCGGACCGTTGAAGCCTAACAATAAAAGTACTGTTGTTCTGCCAACATCATTTAACAGCTTCTGATACTGAAAGAAACACATTAAATGGTTTAACATGCTAATCTAACAGAGTAGTATGGAATTAATGTATTTATTTGGTACTTTGTAACTAATTGTTCTCTAAAAAGGGCCCACATTAAAGTTGGCAGTGAGTCAACGTGAAATAAAATGTGATACCATTTACTGGTCATATTGGAAAGGATTCAATAACTTTTCTTTTTTCTGATATCACTAACCTTTACTATTTTTTTAACCACCTGTGGTAAAGAGTCCACTTTTCACCATCCACTCCAGTCCTACATTGACTATTTTTCTAGCCAAATCTCAAGTTTTGCTCTGAAATAAATTACATTAGATACCCACCAAAATCAGTTTCTGTAATAAAATGTTATACTTGAGCCACATACTAAAAGCACTCAAGCAGACCAGGTCAAATTACTCAGCAGTAGGTTAGACAGTCCTTGAGCCAGAACATCAACACAGCTACCTGCCCAATCATTCCCATCTAAACCCTGATATCATGTGTAATGATTGTTTCATGCTCCTATCTGACAAACAACGATTATGCTAACCATCCCCTGATATAACTAACAATGTTTTTGTCCTCAAATTTGATGTAGTTTTTGTGTCTCTCTCTCTCTTTATTTGAAATAATACCCAACTAAATACCTAGCACATTAGGCAAGACTCAAATTTGACAAATCGAATCATAGAAAGCAAAACAAATAGCTCATGATTTCAGATGATGTTTCCGTGTTGAACCCTGCGTGCGATAATCATCTTTAAAACCTGCCAAGAATAGTAAGAGAGCTGCCTTTGTGAAATCGACAAACAAAACGGGTATCTTCGCAGTGATGAAACATGAAGTAAAGGTGTTAAAGATAATACTGGGCTGTAAAATCGTTCCCTTTGAAAATTATATGATTGTGATCTCGAACATACAAACAGATAACACCTCGGTAACTTTGTCTAGGGCATAGAGATACATTACAGCCAAACCTAATGCCAAAAAAAAACATCTTTAGAAGTGATGTCAGGTTTGAGGGAAAAAGCTGAATATGAGGAGTCCTTTCTCTGCATGATGATTTCCACAAATAATGTTTAAAATGTGAGTTCTTGCAATGTTAACCATGAAACAAATGCTCTGTAGCCATCTTCGCTTTAAAACATCAATAACACAGTTTAAATCATAATCTATGATTTATATATGTCCATATAAGATGTAAAAAGCAAAATGTTTTCTTACAAAACCGCAAAGTTTATGAAAAGTTCCTGAGGAAAAGTGTAACTTGTGACACCTGTCATAGATTTAGACAAGTGAAAGAAATGCTTAATAAATCAAGTTTTTAATCTAAACTAAGTCTATTAATGAAATATTAAATACAATTTTAATACACAACATTTTATAGATATTGAATCATTATAAACGTTATAGTTTGTCTGTTTGTTAGACTAGTCTAAGAACTTATAAATGTGTGATTAATGTTCAAAATTACTTTATGTAATTACTTAATGAATTGTGAATTAGAAAGTCTAATGAATTGTGAATTAGAAAGTCTAATATCTAAGTTAAGTAATAAGACTATTTAAGCTACAATATTTAAAATTAAGCAAATAAACAGCAGGGAAAATTGCATTATTAATAAATTGCAAGCTTGTTATAAAGTGTGATATCCAGGTGACATGACAAAGATACCAAATATTCTAAAACAGATTTTTGTAAAACAAAAATCTTGCTGGGAACTGAAGAGAAATTGAATTCTTATTTTAAACTATAAACGTAGTTTTATATACTATTAGATTGTAAAAAGTGATACTAAAGACTAATATTACTTTAAGTGATTGTAGTTGTGGTTTCATGACTTTGACTCATATCAGTAGGCCTCCCAAAACTTTCTGTCAGAGTTTCCAAACTTATAACAGTAACTAGCATGTCATAACCTGGCAGGTCACACAACCAGGCCAGAGACTACTTACAACCAATACCTTGTTATGATTTTATTGGGCAGAAAATCCTCTGTCAGTACTTCAAGGTAATTTTAAACGTCTTATATTATTTATGAGACAATTTTAGAATTGGCATTTTTGTCGTTTGATATTCTATGACTTACGAGCCATTGTTTCGTCAAATGACAACTTTAGCTTGGTGTTTAGTAATTGAAAGCGTGTTGTTTAGGTGTTTAACAAGGCATTTGGTTCGGACTGGACAGTTTTGTGTACTTACAGATGCACAGTGCTCTTTGGCAAGTCTTGAGGGACATCAGTCATGTCCAAACGACTGCAGTCGGTCGTATCAAGCGTACACGTACAGTTTTGAGGACACGGTGCGCCATAATTGATTAACAGTTCCAGCGTCAAAAGCCAATAAAACACATGATATGAAAGTGATCCCATCTGTCCCAGCCACGCCGCCATTTTGTATCCAGTTGTCTCAGCGCTTAACGACTGATCTCTCTCATCCACAAACGGACAGCTCGAGCTTATTGAGTTTCTCAGAGTTCGAGTAATTCGCCTTCATTAAGTTGTTTGTTTACCCAGCGGTACTATCAAATTATACTGCGTTGCTTTCGGGCAATGCATCTGCCCTGAACTTGAAAACAGTCCCACAGTTTGAAAAAAAATCTCCTCTGCAGCACCACGTAAGTAAATCAAAGGTGAATCACGACGAGGCAATACAAGAAACTTGTCCAGTAGCCAAAACTAAATGCAGTTGTCCTTAAAAGGTTGAAAAGGGGGTCTGTATGGGGGATAGACGGGCGCTTTGTTTTGGCAAGAGCGATCCACTGAATCAAATGTAGTTTGAGGAGTTTAAATTGTCCACGGTGTTTCTGAACTTCTTATAATGTTTTGATCCTAAGGGATTCATTATAACGAAGAGTAAACACATAGTAGATCGTGTCCATTAACTCCACACGAGCGCGTTGAAGGAAAATCTAGGATCATCGGCGCTTTAAAGAAACTTTTCCACAGGGAAAACCGCACTCTTTAAAAAGTTTGAGGCTCTCGTTTCTTCTTACAAAGTATCCAAACTGCGACTCCACGATCAGTCAAGTAAAAACAATAAAACAGTTTTGAAGAGAAACAGTTCCAGTAAAGCCGTCCGACTGTTGTGAACTTTGCGGCTCTCTCGTTCGTTCGTACACTCTCTCCTTCCAGCGCGCGGTTGAAGGAATTGGGAAGCTTTTATCTTGATCTCGTTGTACGGTCCGAAAACTCTGATAATTTACAAATTCACCTCGCACTTCTAACCGTTTCCACCGCTTGTTTTCCCCCTCCCGGACTTTACTTTCTTTTTATCCAGACGTTCCTTCGTCCCACGTTGGATACATCAGAAGTGATAAAGATTCCCTCGTTCTGCTTTACAATTGGCTCTTGGGGCATGATTGACGGCCAGGCTCTGGCTCTCATTGGCTGCTTTGGAGCGCTCAGGCGCTGCGATTTTGGACTTGCCTGGGCCCAGCTGTCAGTCAACTCGCCTTAGCCCCGCCTATCTTTCCCACCCAGAGTGAGAAACCGCGCCCCCTCCTTTTACTCTCACTGCTTCTTAAAGGGACAATGATCATTGGGATATAATATAATATAATATAATATAATATAATATAATATAATATAATATAATATAATATAATATAATATAATATAATATATGATTCGGCTTAGTCCTTTTATTAGTCTGGGGTCTCCACAGCTGAATGAACCGCCAACTTATCCAGCATATGTTTTTACGCAGTGGATGCCCTTCCAGCTGCAAGCCATCACCGGGAAACTTTCATGCACATTCATTTAGACACATACACTATGGACAATTTAGCTTACCCAATTCACCTGTACCGCTTGTATTTAGACTTGTGGGGGAAACCTGAGCACCCAGAGGAAACTCACGCCAGCACGGAGAGAACATGCAAACTTCACAAAGAAATGCAACTGACCAAGCCGAGGCTTGTACCAGTGACCTTCTTGCTGTGATTATTATAATATTATTATATTATATTGTGTTTAAATATTATATTATATTATATTATATTATATTATATTATATTATATTATATTATATTATATTATATTATATCATATTCTTATAGTCTAAATAATAAATCTATAATTTGTATTTATTTATGTAAAGTGAAAATAATATGTAGTCGATAATAATATTTAATATTCTGATTTGTAATTTTTAATATTTTAACTATGTAAAAGTGGAGAGAATTTCAATATTTATGTTGTTGTTGTTGCTATTATTATTATTATTATCCTTTCTAAAATTATTAGAACTATCAGACATAAAAAATATAATAATAAATACTACTGTTCTTCAACAACACAATGTGTGAGAAGAAAAATAGGTTAAAGAAGAAAGCTCACATCCTTTGAAAACATTTGACCGCATGAGCATCTGCTCTATTAAAGCAATCCAATCAAATGAGTTTTCAACTACTCCTGGAGGACCATTTTGTCCTCTTTAACCCAAACGGCATTTGGTATTTTAGCTGTCTATTCTGAGAGAGCTCTTGACATGCTTTCACACATGATTTATCTGTCAGTGTGCCTACTGTAAATCATTTGCTTTACAAATAACTTGTAAGCGGCACAAGTGTCAAGAGACTCTAAAGAGCCATAAAGAGACACAGATTGTGGATTTGAAGGGTGGCATCAACAGCAAACTAGAAAAACAATAATCTTACTTTACTTTAAACCTAAACTTGGGAAAAAACGCTTTGAATCTGCATTAAAAGACTGGATCCCTGGGAAAATAACATTCTGTCATCATTGACTTTTCTTCAGTACACAAATAAATGTATTTTTAATAATACCTCTACTTTAAAACTGCTTCTTCTTAAATAAAAAGCTGTCTATTAACTGTGATGCTTTAAAGGTGTTCTGAAGAGAAAGGACTTTACACAGTGACCAGATTTCATTTAAGCTTTAATTCAGGTTTTGCAATATCAGATACAGTTGTGGCTGGAAGTTGAAGAGAATTATTTACATTATTTATAAAATTTCCCATTTATTGTATATTTTTGTAACATCTAACCCTAGCCCAACCCTAAACCCCAACCATCACAGTAATGTAAAACAGCAGTTGTACACAGTACTTTTTAAATTAAATTACCTAATAAATTGTATGTTATTAATGCCTACCACCACCCCAATCGTAAACCCAACCTTCACAGTACTGTAAAAATATGAATTATGGATATATAGCGTCACAAAAATGATGCCATATTGATGTGCATATCCGCAGTCATATCCTATTTAGGCATGGGACGATAATCGTTTTCAAGATATACAGCTGTTTTTTTCTGCTTCATTTTCTGCTAAGGTGTGTGCATGATTTTTTATTTACATTTTTTAGGACAACAGTATCTTCAGCAGAAAAAAATATCCAAAGATGTCATTTTAAATTGCAAAGAAATCTGTGTTTTTGAAACTAATGAAAACAGCAGAGGTCAATAAATGATATTAATTATTTAGCCTGACATGCTTATTGCTCCAAAATAGCTTAAATATTTCTCAAAGAATATATTTTAGAGTAGTAATCACAATACTGTGAAACTGTAATATTTTTATTCAAGGTTCTTACCATCAAAATCTTATACCGGCCCTTGCCTAATCTTATCTAGACTTGACCCTGTTATTCACATAAACATGATCAGTCAAATTTAATCTCCGAAGTTCAAGAGGAAGGTATTCACTAGATGTTTGAGCTTCATGAACCAATGAGGTTTATGTTTGTGTGAAGCAGGTAAGTCTCTATACAATTGATGACAAAATGATGAGCCCTTCTAAAAAATGTAAATTTTTCAAACATTTCCCAAGTGCTGTTTAAGATATTTTAACACCTTTTTTAATTTTTAAATAATTAATTTCTATATATATATATATATAATTTCTATAATATATTTTTTCCAGCCAAACAAAAATAAATAACACTTTCACACGATCTAATTGGAAATACTGTGTATAAAATATTTGAGAAAGAGTAAAAAAGACTAATTTTGCCCTTTTTGTATATGTGAATAAAAACTCAAATTAAATAAATTTTAAATCATAAACACAAAATTAATTTGCACATCTCATGAGCTTTATGTTAGTGGAAGCAGGTAAGTTTATACAGAGACAAAATGATTAGCCCTCCTGTGAAATTTAAGTTCTTGAAATATTTCCAAAGTACTGTTTAAGAGTTCTTTCAACACATTTTAAATGTTTTAACAACTCATTTCTAATACCTAATATATTTTATCTTTTGCCATGATGACAAGTTACTTTGGAAGATATCATTAAGCTATTTAAGTGCAATTTAAAGACTTACCATTGTTAGAAAGTTTGTTTAATTACAAGTAATTGGGTATCAGAGGTTTTGTAGCCAATCAAAAATCAATCTCTCTTTCTTAAGGCCCAGGGTGTTTTGCACGTGCATTTCTTATTTCTCTTTACTATTTGGGCTTATTGAAACCTGATTAGAATGAAAACCTAAGTATCATCTTTTGATATAATGTACTTTTAAAGAAAAATTATGTCCATATATGTGGACTCGTGGTCCCAATTTACATAATACACTTTTTTTCCTGACTGTTTTTAATGCATATATAACATATACATTTTTTTGAACATCAGAGAGTAAAATCAAATGTTTTTGCCCATTTTGAGCAGTTAAAAATAGTGCTTGGTACATTTCATATGCTGCAAAACAGTTGCAGGTTGACACTGTATGTCTGTGACAAAATGTAATAGCTAAAATGTGCTGTCAACGTATGTGGTCACTAAGCCCTAGGAGGTTAAGGGGGCTAATAATATCAAACCTAAAAAAACACATGTTTAAAATCTCCTGTATTCAAGCTAAAAAAAAATAAATAAGACTTTCTTAAGATTTAATAGGAAAAATATTTCAGAAAGAGCAAAAAATGTATAAGAAAACTAATAATTTTGCCTTTAACTGTACGCTCACTGATCATTATTTAATAAAAAGCCATTTTAAATCTATTTTAAAAGCATAAACACAAAACCAATGAATTTCATGTTTGAGCTTTATCTTTGTGTGAAGCAGGTAAGTGTACAGTATATACCACTGAAGACAAAATAATTAGCCCTCCTGTAAAAATTGTAATTCTTCGAATATTTTCCAAGTGCTGTTTAAGATTTTTTAACAAATTTAAACAAGAACTCATTTCTAATACTTAATATCTTTTGTCTTGGCAATGACATACAGTGCATTACAGTTATTTTGGAAGATACTATAAGGTATAGTTAGGTTAACTAAGTTTGTGTAATTAGACAAGTAATTGGGTAACAGTGGTTTGTTCTCAAAACACAAACAAACAAATTAATAATTGTTTGTAATAATATATTTAATAATATTAAACCTAAAAAACCCACAACATTAAAATCGGCTTTTATTCCAGCCAAACTAAAATACATAACACTTTCTCAAGATTTAAAAGGAAAAATATTTCATAAAGAGTAAATAATTTCACAAGAAGACTAATAATTTTGCCTTTAACTGTATGGCACAGTGGCTCAGAGGTTAGCAAGAAGGTCGCTGGATCGAGTCCCGGCTGGGACAGTTTTTCAGCATTTCTGTGTGGAGTTTGCATGTTTCCCTGTTGGTTTCCCCCACAGTCAAAAGACATGTGCTATATGGGTGAATTGTATAAGCTAATTGATCATAGTGTATGAGTGTGTATGGGTTTTCCCTGTACCGGGTTGTGGCTGGAAGGACATCTGTTGTGTAAAACATATGCTGGATAAGTTAGCGGTTCCTTCCGCTGTGGCGACCTCTGATAAATCAGAGACTTCGAAGTCGAAGGAGAATGAATGAATAAATATACGCACACACAAAACCAATGAGTTTGCACATCTCATGGAATGTTTGAGCTTTACGTTTGTGTGAAGCAGTTAAGCGTATATACCATTGAAGACAAAATGATTATCCCTCCTGCGAAATTTAAATAAAAATATATCCCAAGTGCTGTTTAAGAGTTTAACGCATTTGAAATGTTTTAATAATCATTTATTTTGTCTTTGCAGTGATGTCAGTACAAAATATATGAGTTATTTTGGAAGATATCATTCAGCTTAAAGTGCAATTTAAAGGCTTAACTAAGTAAATGTTAACTAAGTTTGTTTAATTGGCCAAGTAATTGGTTTGTTATGTATAAAAAAATAATTTCTAAAGAGGACTATTAATATTGAAATAATTAAAGATAATTTTATATAAAATAACTGCTTTTCCAGCCAAACTAAAATAAATACCCCTTTCTCAAGATCTGACATGAAAAACATTGAATACATTTTTGACAGAGTAAAAATTTCACAAGAAGACTTTGTCTTTGATCGATATTTGA